GGGTGGGGTAGGAGGTTCCACCAGTGGGGGTGGTGGGGTAGGAGGTTCCACCAGTGTGGGGGTGGTGGGGTAGGAGGTTCCACCAGTGTGGGGGTGGTGGGGTAGGAGGTTCCACCAGTGTGGGGGTGGTGGGGTAGGAGGTTCCACCAGAGTGGGGGTGGTGGGGTAGGAGGTTCCACTAGAGTGGGGGTGGTGGGGTAGGAGGTTCCACCATATCAACGGGAAGGAGCAACGCTCACCACCTGTTGCTCTACTTAACCGTTCCTTCGTAAGATTAGTCTACGCTTCACCGCCCACCTACCACAACCACCCTGCCACTACCTACACAACCACCCTGCCACTACCACAACCACTCTACCACTACCACAACCACCCTACCTCTACCACAACCACCCTACCACTACCACCCTACCACTCCCACAACCACCCTACTACTACCACAACCACCCTACCTCTACCACAACCACCCTACCACTTCCACCCTACCACTCCCACTACCACCCACTACCACAATTTTCCACTACCACCCTGTCACTACCACGTAATTCTTCGCATTTTTAACGGATTGGTTGATTCCGTAATGATGCGAGACACATAATGTGAGATGACAGGTCCGAGAGACGCTGCATCTGGAGACTTCAACACCACCTTAAATACTAATCTAAATTTTCATCTTTTAATACCGTGCTTATGTCTTTTGTACTCCCCTATTTATATTCATCTATTTGTGCCTACCGAATCCAGCTTTTGCTCCTGGACCCCGGTTGTTTAATGCAGTGATTGCTGATTCATTTCTTTGTGAATGCCGTTTGGTTCCACAATCTGTTCCATTTGTTCATTCCGTTCTTCCACTATCACGCTAAATGGAAACTTTCTAACATCTGTGACTCGTCTGATTCTTGAGCTTCCATCCATCCATCCATCCACTCTTGTTCTATTGCTGTTAGTTGTGATTATTTCTTCTATTTCCACTGTCAATCATACTAAATATTGTTAGGTGTTTTATATCTGCGTTTGCATGTGTGTGTGTGTGTGTGTGTGTGTGTGTGTGTGTGTGTGTGTGTGTGTGTGTGTGTGTGTGTGTGTGTGTGTGTGTGTGTGTGTGTGTGTGTGTGTGTGTGTGTGTGTGTGTGTGTGTGTGTGTGTGTGTGTGTGTGTGTGTGTGTGTGTGTGTGTGTGTGTGTGTGTGTGTGTGTGTGTGTGTGTGTGTTTATTTATGCATACTGAGACTTAATTAATTTGTTTAGATGGTATTTAAATCGGTGATGAAATTGAAGTATGTGTTTGACTCTTGCCTCAGTAAGTTTGTGAAGATGACGGGACACGAGTTGATGGACACATTGCGGTGACGCTGTCAATTTCCTGGGTTAACGGCTGGAAACACTTAGTATACACACGCACGCACTCACACGCACGCACGCACTCACACACACGCACTCACACACGCACTCACACGCACGCACTCACTCACACACGCACGCACGCACTCACACGCACGCACGCACACACACGCACTCACTCACACACGCACTCACACACGCACGCACGCACTCACACACGCACAATCACTCACACACACACACGCACTCACACACGCACGCACGCACTCACACACACACACGCACTCACACACGCACGCACTCTCACACGCACGCACTCACACACGCACGCACGCACTCACACACGCACAATCACACACACACACACGCACACACGCACGTACGCACTCACACACACACACGCACTCACACACGCACTCTCACACGAACGCACTCACACACGCACGCACGCACTCACACACGCACGCACAATCACACACACACACGCACTCACACACACACGCACGCACTCACACACGCACGCACGCACATTCACTCACACACAAGGGAAGGCCAATCAGAACCCCCATAGGAATGAGTGACCACAGTGTACTAACATGTGAGTGCTGGAAGTAGGGATAACCTAACCAAGAGAAAAGAACCGAAAAGTAAAAGGCTGAAATACCGAAGGAACAACTATGATAAGATAAGAACATTTCTAAAAGGAATACCTTGGGAGACAGCTGAGAGGAAAGTGTGTACAAGACATTTGTGGGGCCTGGTAGCCTGGTGGATAGCGCGCAGAACTCGTAATTCTGTGGCGCGGGTTCGATTCCCGCACCAGGCAGAAACAAATGGGCAAAGTTTCTTTCACCTTGAATGCCCCCTGTTACCTAGCAGTAAATAGGTACCTGGGAGTTAGTCAGCTGTCACCTGCTTCACCCAGAAGTGTCATGAGGCAGAGAACAGGTTTATCCCGGCACAGAAATTTAAGAAAAAACGAAAATCAAAAGGGGAATCCGTGGTTCAGTCAGGCATGACCTGGCAACAAGCATATCTTCTTGAGGTTATCTTGAGATGATTTCGGGGCTTTAGTGTCCCCGCGGCCCGGTCCTCGACCAGGCCTCCACCCTCAGGAAGCAGCCCGTGACAGCTGACTAACACCCAGGAACCTATTTTACTGCTAGGTAACAGGGGCATAGGGTGAAAGAAACTCTGCCTATTGTTTCTCGCCGGCACCCGGGATCGAACCCGGGACCACAGGATCACAAGTCCAGCGTGCCGGCTCCCTACCGAAGCAAGCAAGCATTAAGCAAGCAAGAGAAGTGTTGACGGACTGAATTTTTTTGGACTGTCGGAAAGCTGTTGAAAACGTCCCCCCATAAAAATACTGTTGCATATGTTGGAGAAATAGGCTGGAGTAAGTGGTTAGGTGCTCCAATGGATAAGGGAGTACCTAACCAAGAGGAAGCAGAATGGTGAGACCTCCGACTGGCGTGATGTCACCAGCGGAGTCCTACAGGGTTCTGTACTCGGACTTATCTTGTTCCTGAAATACATGCATGATCTTCCAGAAGGTATAGACTCATTCCTCTCAATGTTTGATGATGAGGCTAAAATTATGAGAAGAAATAAGGCAGAGGAGGACAGCAAGAGGCTTCAAGATGACTTGCATAGACAGAAGGAATGATCCAACAAATGGCTGATTGGGTTTAACTCGAGCAAGTGCGAAGGGATGAAGATAGGCCTAGGGAGTAGGAAGCCAAACACAACGTACCAGCTGGGAGAGGAAATCCTTTAGGAGTCAGGAAAAGAGAGATCTGTGGGTTGATATCGCACCAGACCTGTTCCCTAAAGCCCACACCAAAAAGATAACACAAAGAGGCGTATGCATGGCTGGCGAACATGAGAACTGTTTTCATAAACTTGTGTAAGGAATCATTCAGAACATTGTATACCTCATATATCACACCAATAATACCTGAGTATGCGGCTCCAGCGTAGAGTCCACATCTAGTTAAACACAAAACAAAGCTAGAAAAGATTCAGAGGTAGTTTACCAGGCTAGTCCCCGAGCTGAGGGGTATGAGCTACGAGGAAAGATTACTGGAGCTAAACCTCACAACATTGGAAGACAGAAGAGTTAGGGTAGACATGATCACTACCTATGAAATTCTCAGGAATTGACAGAGTAGATAAAGATAAACTGTTTAGCACGGGTGGTACGCGAACAAGGGGACACAGGTGGAGACTGAGTACCCAAATGAGCCACAGGGACGTTAGAAAAAACTTTTTCAGTGTCAGAGTAGTTAACAAGTGGAATGCACTAGGCAGTGATGTGGTGGAGGCTGACTCGGAAAACTGTACACCAGTTGATTGACAGTATTGAGAGGTGGGACCGAAGAGCCAGAGCTCAACCCCCGCCAGTACAATAAGGTGAGTACACAGATGGTTGCCGGCGGAGGTTCTGGAGTATGAAGCCAGACCCGAGACACGCGCGAGTCTTAATTGGCAGCGGAGAGAAACCATTAGTCGTACACTAATGTCACAACCCCGCCGGGATCACAACCTCGCCGGGGTCACAACCCCGCCAGGGTCACAACCCCGCCGGGGTCACAACCCCACCAAGGTCACAACCCCGGCCTCGTCCCCCTGCTGGATTGTGACGGCCTCGTCCCCTGCTGGATAGGCAGCCTTCTTTCACGCAATTTCCCAATACTAGCTCCTGTCTTCTCCTATATCCTAGCGCCTCCTTTCCTTCTATCCTTTCTAAGTGATATATATATATATATATATATATATATATATATATATATATATATATATATATATATATATATATATATATATATATATATATATATATATATATATATATATATATATATATATATATATATATAATCGGGCATTACCATTAAAGTGCCGTCGGGATGATGGGCAAATAGCCTTGGCTACCATCACTGATGGTCGAGTGGTTAAGGTCTCCTGTGCACCAGTTGCATAGTGCTCCTGGCAGTATGGGTTCGAATCACTTCTGGGGTGTGGAGTTTATATGTATACTGTGATGTGGGTCTAGAGTGTGGTGTAAACCTACACTATAATGCATTAGTTACCAGACGAGTCCCCCGGTGTGGCTGGGTCCCCCTTCACACACTCCCCACCTCCGTCACCTCCTTCCCGTCTCCTCCCGTATCTTAGAAAATTTAAGACAATACCATTATTTAGAAAATGGAATATTATCAAGCACTTACAACGTGAAACTCTACGGAAAACTCATCACAAACTTCAGACGTCATAAAAATCGCCGGGGGGTCGCTATAGATGCCGATATTTATGAAACGGTAGCACTAGAGACCTTCTGCGCATAGTCTATGATGCTCCTATACACGGCATGTATCATCTTGCAAAGTAGAATGAGGCTAGACCCAAGCGCCTGGCCTCATACTTTGAGCAGCTGGAGAAACATGACACGTTCTATTTTTTAGATATAAATTGGCTATACAACAATGTATTAGTTTTCAGATGTCAAGTACACGTGTGTAGAGCGTACCTGTAACTCTCAAATATTAATTTAGTTTACAAGTTTATACAAATATTCAAGTTTACGCAAAATTGAAATCAATTGACTCACCTTTTTTGTTGATCAATACTGACATGTGTTCATCTGTTCTTCCTCAGATGTGTTCACGGACCTTACTGTTCTCCGGGGCGCTGCTTGTTCTGGTCGTCGCCGTCTACAGTAAGTCTTACTAACAAGGGACCAGATTCACGAAAACACTTACGCAAGTACTTACGAACGTGTACATCTTTCCTCAATATTTGACGGCTTTGGTTACATTTATTAAACAGTTTACAAACATGAAAACTTGCCAATTAACTGTTGTTATTGTTATAAACAGCCTCCTGGTGCTTCGGAGCTCATTAACTGTTTAATAATTGTAAACATAGCCGTCAAAGATTGAGAAAAGATGTACAGGTTCGTAAGTGCTTGCGTAACTGCTTTTTGAATGTGGTCCCTGGTTCTGAAGCTTTTTAGGTAGGCTAAACCACACCATTTTTTACGGAGGGTCAACCTGGGAGAATGGGCTGATGTGTCCGGGTGGACGGAGTGCACAATCGTGTCCGTCAACGCCACAAATTCATTTGCACCTGGAACTTGCTTTTCATCTCATAGTAAATTGTTCGGTACATTTTTGTTGCTTTGTCATTACGTTATAATTGCAGAGTTGTCGTTACTTGATTGTAAAACTGTTTATAACCGCAGAGGAATTTCCACATTTTCTTCTTCAATATCAAGTTCTTTCGAGACTCACGAATATATTTCAGACTCGCAAAATATTACTATTTATTCAGTCTTAATTCTACACAAGTCTTAAAAATTCTCTCTAATTTTAAATTTATTTGATGCAAGTTACTTGTTATTCCGAGTTACGTCGTCAGAACTTACATATTTCTTTTGCCTTTCTGAAAGCATATAATTTCATGTATTAATTTGGTCGCGTCAGATTTCTCGCCGGATACTGAAGGAAGTGACGGTAATACTGTTTTGGCCTCTGGCCACTAAGAACAGTTGCTCAGTACTGACCGGGGAACTCCTGCACACTTGGACACTAAGAACAGTTGCTCAGTACTGACCGGGGAACTCCTGCACACTTGGACAATAAGAACAGTTGCTCAGTACTGACCGGGGAACTCCTGCACACTTGGCCACTAAGAACAGTTGCTCAGTACTGACCGGGGAACTCCTGCACACTTGGCCACTAAGAACAGTTGCTCAGTACTGACCGGGGAACTCCTGCACACTTGGCCACTAAGAACAGTTGCTCAGTACTGACCGGGGAACTCCTGCACACTTGGACAATAAGAACAGTTGCTCAGTACTGACCGGGGAACTCCTGCACACTTGGACAATAAGAACAGTTGCTCAGTACTGACCGGGGAACTCCTGCACACTTGGCCACTAAGAACAGTTGCTCAGTACTGACCGGGGAACTCCTGCACACTTGGCCACTAAGAACAGTTGCTCAGTACTGACCGGGGAACTCCTGCACACTTGGACAATAAGAACAGTTGCTCAGTACTGACCGGGGAACTCCTGCACACTTGGCCACTAAGAACAGTTGCTCAGTACTGACCGGGGAACTCCTGCACACTTGGACAATAAGAACAGTTGCTCAGTACTGACCGGGGAACTCCTGCACACTTGGACACTAAGAACAGTTGCTCAGTACTGACCGGGGAACTCCTGCACACTTGGACAATAAGAACAGTTGCTCAGTACTGACCGGGGAACTCCTGCACACTTGGACAATAAGAACAGTTGCTCAGTACTGACCGGGGAACTCCTGCACACTTGGACAATAAGAACAGTTGCTCAGTACTGACCGGGGAACTCCTGCACACTTGGCCACTAAGAACAGTTGCTCAGTACTGACCGGGGAACTCCTGCACACTTGGCCACTAAGAACAGTTGCTCAGTACTGACCGGGGAACTCCTGCACACTTGGACAATAAGAACAGTTGCTCAGTACTGACCGGGGAACTCCTGCACACTTGGACAATAAGAACAGTTGCTTAGTACTGACCGGGGAACTCCTGCACACTTGGCCACTAAGAACAGTTGCTCAGTACTGACCGGGGAACTCCTGCACACTTGGCCACTAAGAACAGTTGCTCAGTACTGACCGGGGAACTCCTTCACACTTGGACACTAAGAACAGTTGCTCAGTACTGACCGGGGAACTCCTGCACACTTGGACAATAAGAACAGTTGCTCAGTACTGACCGGGGAACTCCTGCACACTTGGACAATAAGAACAGTTGCTCAGTACTGACCGGGGAACTCCTGCACACTTGGACACTAAGAACAGTTGCTCAGTACTGACCGGGGAACTCCTGCACACTTGGCCACTAAGAACAGTTGCTCAGTACTGACCGGGGAACTCCTGCACACTTGGACACTAAGAACAGTTGCTCAGTACTGACCGGGGAACTCCTGCACACTTGGCCACTAAGAACAGTTGCTCAGTACTGACCGGGGAACTCCTGCACACTTGGACAATAAGAACAGTTGCTCAGTACTGACCGGGGAACTCCTGCACACTTGGACACTAAGAACAGTTGCTCAGTACTGACCGGGGAACTCCTGCACACTTGGCCACTAAGAACAGTTGCTCAGTACTGACCGGGGAACTCCTGCACACTTGGACACTAAGAACAGTTGCTCAGTACTGACCGGGGAACTCCTGCACACTTGGCCACTAAGAACAGTTGCTCAGTACTGACCGGGGAACTCCTGCACACTTGGACAATAAGAACAGTTGCTCAGTACTGACCGGGAAACTCCTGCACACTTGGACAATAAGAACAGTTGCTCAGTACTGACCGGGGAACTCCTGCACACTTGGACACTAAGAACAGTTGCTCAGTACTGACCGGGGAACTCCTGCACACTTGGCCACTAAGAACAGTTGCTCAGTACTGACCGGGGAACTCCTGCACACTTGGACACTAAGAACAGTTGCTCAGTACTGACCGGGGAACTCCTGCACACTTGGCCACTAAGAACAGTTGCTCAGTACTGACCGGGGAACTCCTGCACACTTGGACAATAAGAACAGTTGCTCAGTACTGACCGGGGAACTCCTGCACACTTGGAGGCCACTAAGAACAGTTGCTCAGTACTGACCGGGGAACTCCTGCACACTTGGACAATAAGAACAGTTGCTCAGTACTGACCGGGGAACTCCTGCACACTTGGACAATAAGAACAGTTGCTCAGTACTGACCGGGGAACTCCTGCACACTTGGCCACTAAGAACAGTTGCTCAGTACTGACCGGGGAACTCCTGCACACTTGGACAATAAGAACAGTTGCTCAGTACTGACCGGGGAACTCCTGCACACTTGGACAATAAGAACAGTTGCTCAGTACTGACCGGGGAACTGCTGCACACTTGGACAAAATGATGAAATATCAGATTTTAAAAAGATAGACAAAAAGATACTAAATGATAGACCAGTGTACCTAACTATCCCCTTACAGGTCTAGGCAAGACACTAAATGATAGACCATTGTATCTCTCACAAGACACCAGAGAGTGGATAAAGAGAGAGTAAAACAGCAATGAAGGGAAGATTAAGGAATTATCAGGAGAAAGCGCCAGGCCATTACGTCTATATAGCACTGGGTAAGGGTCAGGATAAGGATTTGGGATGGGCCGGGGGGGGGGAGGGTAAGAATGGTGCCCAACCACTTGTGAACGGTCGGGGATTGAACGCCGACCTGCAAGAAGCGAGACCGTCGCTCTGCCGTCAATATAAGAATGAGAAACAATCGACTTGAGAATGGTCCAGGACGGACCGAAACGTCGTCGTCCCTTCAACTTCTAGTGTGTGGTCTGGTCAACATACTTCAGCCACGTTATTGTGACTCATCGCCTGCAAACAAGAAGAGTTCTAAGAAGAAGAAGAATTGACGAATCTCGTGGTATTTAGTGACACTATCCACATGTAGACAAGAGAGAAAGATAAACTGCATTTTTCTAGACTGCCAGGAGGGCTTTGACACAGTACGCCACAAGAGACTGTTATTAATGATAGCGAACCCAGCCGGCATAACATGACAGGACCTTGGAAGGAGTTATGGCTACCTTCTTGTAAAGGAAAAAAAGGAATTGTGAGAAAATCAAAATTACTTTGCGAGGTATTTAAGAGAGGTTGTGGTGGTGTGGTAGTTACACTGTTGTCTTGTGGTGGTGTGGTAGTTACACTGTTGTCTTGTGGTGGTGTGGTAGTTACACTGTTGTCTTGTGGTGGTGTGGTAGTTACACTGTTGTCTTGTGGTGGTGTGGTAGTTACACTGTTGTCTTGTGGTGGTGTGGTAGTTACACTGTTGTCTTGTGGTGGTGTGGTAGTTACACTGTTGTCTTGTGGTGGTGCGGTAGTTACACTGTTGTCTTGTGGTGGTGGTAGGTTGTAGTTACACTGTTGTCTTGTGGTGGTGTGGTAGTTACACTGTTGTCTTGTGGTGGTGTGGTAGTTACACTGTTGTCTTGTGGTGGTGCGGTAGTTACACTGTTGTCTTGTGGTGGTGTGGTAGTTACACTGTTGTCTTGTGGTGGTGTGGTAGTTACACTGTTGTCTTGTGGTGGTGCGGTAGTTACACTGTTGTGTGGTGGTGTGGTAGTTACACTGTTGTCTTGTGGTGGTGTGGTAGTTACACTGTTGTCTTGTGGTGGTGTGGTAGTTACACTGTTGGTAGTTACACTGTTGTCTTGTGGTGGCACTGTTGTCTTGTGGTGGTGTGGTAGTTACACTGTTGTCTTGTGGTGGTGTGGTAGTTACACTGTTGTCTTGTGGTGGTGTGGTAGTTACACTGTTGTCTTGTGGTGGTGGTAGTTACACTGTTGTCTTGTGGTGGTGTGGTAGTTACACTGTTGTCTTGTGGTGGTGTGGTAGTTACACTGTTGTCTTGTGGTGGTGTGGTAGTTACACTGTTGTCTTGTGGTGGTGTGGTAGTTACACTGTTGTCTTGTGGTGGTGTGTAGTTAGTTACACTGTTGTCTTGTGGTGTTACACTGTTGTCTTGTGTGTTACACTGTTGTCTTGTGGTGGTGTGGTAGTTACACTGTTGTCTTGTGGTGGTGGTAGTTACACTGTTGTCTTGTGGTGGTGTGGTAGTTACACTGTTGTCTTGTGGTGGTGTGGTAGTTACACTGTTGTCTTCTGGTGGTGTGG